GGAGAGTGTTGTGTGGAAGCCAGTTGGCAGACAGCTCCTAGGACATAATGAGTAAGACCTGGTTTTGGGACTCTCAAGTTTGCCTGCTGCTAGAGGAAAGTGAGTGGCAGGGGTTGCTGTATGGTCTGGGTCTTCTCTTATAGACATCTAGAGTTACTGGCTATTATTATTATTATTATTATTATACAGTATTTATTAAGCGCCAGTAGTTCACTCAGCGCTGTACATTACAAAGGGGGACAGAACATGTGACAGAACAATACCAATACAATGTGATACACGAGGGGTTCGAGGGCCCTGCTCTTTCGAGCTTACAATCTAGGAGATTCCCCATCACCTCCAGCCAATGCTGCTGTTACAGGATTTGTGATAAGACGTTTGTCCCTCTGTTTGACTTCTGATATCATTTTTGGAGTAAACAGAACCCTTAAATCCCATCCTGTTCAAGTTCTGTTCTGCAAATAAAATCCACAAAATACATCCCCTAGACCAGTGGTCTTCAAAAAGCCAGATGCAGCCCTTTGTTTGCTTTAATCTGGTCCTTGGGGCATCCACTGATACCAACAATGGCGCATAATTCCCCATTGACACCTATAAAGGGGCACAATTCCCTCCAATGACACCAACGATGGGCCACAATTCCTCCCAATGACACCCACACTAAAGTCTGAAGGACAGTAAACTGGCCTTTTGTTTAGAAAGTTTGGAGACCCCTGCCCTAGACTGAGCCTGTGTTGTCGGCATGCTTGCAACTGTGTCTGTGGCAGGCAGCCTCTGTACTATCAAGGGAAACCAGGGCATATTCTCAACGGCTCTAATCAGGATGAGCGCCACAATGTTTAAATATATTTAATTATTGTGCTGCAGCTCAAGTGTCTGTACTTGGGTCAACTGTAAGCATTTATTATATACCATATTTACATAGTGTCAACACATTATGAAGCACTTGGAAAAATATATTTTTCACAGTTCACATCCTATCCCCGCCCCTGGGGAAATTGATGTTGTCACGGGCAAGGCACAGCTAGACAGACTTTCACACACTTTAACATGAAATTAAGAAAAGAACAATTAACCAACCATTTTTTTTTCTAATTGCTGGAGGTAATTTCAGAAACTGAGGAAACGTATCCAAACAAAAGGAGTACACAAGCAATTCATACAAACAGAGCCTTTGTGCAATTTGACCTCTAGTGTTTAATGCAAAGTCACCATGTTTCCCAGAAAATAAAATATTCTATTAATAATCATATCCCAAAGCTACATAAAAAACAGAAAACATGTTTGCAGTTTTTTTAATCTGTATTTGGACGGTGTCTGCACAATTATTAACACAAGAAGATGGTATAGCGCTGCCCCTATAGTCTTGTACAATTACAATGAGAAACAAATGTGGGGGATGTGCAGAGCATTGTCACACTATAGTGCACCTCCCTCTAAAACCGCAGTATCCCTAATGCATAGAAAACTGTCCTTCTGTACATCAGCACTTTGCCTGCTCACCGAGTTGTAAAAATATCAGCCCACTTTTCACTGGATTCCTCTTCCGCGTGATGCAATGTAAATGAAAAAAAAAATATATATACAGTATATATATACTGTATATATATACTGTATATACAAAACATATCTGATCCATTCTGATCTAAATCGTATTGTGAATACAAAATATATAAACTTGTAGGATCAGTTAGATACCACAAACTATAGTGCACCTCCCCCTCAAAAACACACAATGTTCCTAAAAAAAAAAAAAAAAATCTGATTTTTGCCACATCATCAATAAACTTTGCTCACTTTGAGCTGAAGGCCTTTTCTTAATATAAGTCTGTTTCATTCTCCTTTGAAAATGAAGGAAAATATGTTGATCAATGGTTCTCTTTTCACAAAAAAGTCTCTAGATCTTGTGAGTAAATGTAAATTCAATCTGGCATCTAGTCCCCCAGACCAGCAGGGGCGGACTGACAAAACTCATTTTCAGGGGCTTCCCCGGACAATAGGGGATCATGCTATGGGCCCCTGTGTCCTTGCCCAAACTCAAAAAAGCCTATGAAAAAGGTACCAAGGGCATTTCATGGGGCCACCTACTGACCCCGGGCCCTCGGGCAGTGCCTGAGTTTCCAAATGGTCAGTCCGCCCCTGCATGAGGGTTTCCAAGATGGTTTCAGCCGCTCCCTCAGTATCCACTCTGACATCTGACATACAGTGGTCTCTGTGTTAAGTGGTGACATAGGCATTGGTGACATTAAATCATGCTCATGCGTGCTCCCCTTTTCCACCACACTCACCGCAATTTTAGATCTCTGTAAAAAGCGGGTCATCTCCAATAGAGATGGATGGTGGCAGGGTTTTGGTGTATTTTCCCCATCCTAGTTGGTTAACTCCTCCTCCATACGGACTGTAGTATGAGAATCCAGAAAGAGAGAAGCCCCATAGCAGGGGCGGACTGACCATTTAGGCATTCGGGCACTGCCTGAGGGCCCGGGGTCAGTAGGGGGCCCCATCAGATGCCCCTGGTACCTTTCATAGTCTTTTTTGAGTGTGGGCGAGGACACAGGGGCCCCATGAATTCTTGTTGCCCAGGGGGCCCCATTAGTTGTCAGTCTGCTCCTGCCCCATAGCCCTCGGGCACTGCCCGAGGGCCCGGGGTCAGTAGGGAGCCCCATCAGATGCCCCTGGTACCTTTCATAGTCTTTTTTGAGTGTGAGCGAGGACACAGGGGCCCCATGATTTCTTGTTGCCCAGGGGCCCCATTAGTTGTCAGTCTGCTCCTGCCCCATAGTGTAAATCCATTTATTAATATAAAGGAATACAAAGTATTGCACTTAGAGCTTAAAAAAGAAGTGGGCGCTTTAAGAATCACTGCAAAGTCCGGAACACCGTGCGTTCCATCACCAAAACCGGAAGTCGGAAATGATGAAATTAGCTTCGCCCAAAGCATTTCATCATAGTGACATCATCAATTATTATTACAATTATTATTTCTTGATTAATCTTCTTATAACAACCACAGGAAAGTACTAGATGCCTCTTAGGCTTGGTTCACACCTATGCTTTTTGCTTTTGAATCACTTTTTAATGCTTTTTGCATTGTGATTTGTGTTTTTACACACGTGTTTTTGACCTTGTTTTCTATTTTTTTTCAACTTTTTTTAATTTTTTGTTGAAAGTTGAAAATGTATGGTTGCTGGGCAGAAAAAACACACAATGCAAAATGTGTCATAAAGTGGCAAAAATGCTGCAAAAATGCACTACACGCGTTTTAGCAGCTTCTCCTATGATTGGACCAATAGGGTGACATCTTCTGGAGGGCTTGCTCATGTGAGTTTGGACTTGGATCTGAACAAATCTAAACTCATCCAGTTATAAGAAATCGGATTCTTTAAGACAACACCCATTGTTCACTATGACCACCAATCACTGTGGTACACTTTGTATAGTGCAACTTCTTTAGGCCACAAAAAGCTGTGCCCAGGGGCGGACTGACCATTCGAGCACTCAGGCACTGCCCGAGGGCCCTGGGGCCAGTAGGGGGCCACATGAAATGCCTCTGGTACCTTTTTTATAGCCTTTTTTGAGTGTGGGCAAGGACATAGGGGCCCCATGATCCCCTATTGCCCGGGGGCCCCATAAGTTGTCAGTCCACCCCTGACTGTGCCTACCATGAAAATGTTAGTTGGTTATACTCCCCCCCCCCACCACCACCACCAGACGAAAAGCTCCCAGTCCTCCCTTAGCCATAGTCATTTTGATGCAAGTCAATAAGCGCCATGGAGCGTATTATAAAGCACGTACCAAGTGCTCCCGCGAGGCATTCATGCATGTACCCAAGACAGCAAGCATTCAATGCTTTATTCATAAATAACCATGTTATCTTTAAAGTGTTCGGGATTTTTAATTAGGTGGAAATTAAAGGTTTTGTTTGTTCTACCCTTCTGATAAACAATCACTATTTCTTAAGAGCAAACATTTTCAGCTACTTGGAAAATGCATTTTCTGTGTTGATTTAATCATCAACTCATTTGCTTCTGCTCCTTAATTTTATTTATAAAGAAGCAGCCTATCTCCCAGCATGAAATGCTTCGAGAGCAGCAATTACAAACACAAATTACTGGAGAATAACAGAAAATTATTAATGCAAACTTTTACAAAATAATAATGAGAATCAGGTTTATTATTTTCCCGACTCACATTCTGGAGGCACTTAGGTGAATGAGCGTGACACATGCTGGTCTCTTATGGGGTTTTGAGTTAGGGTAAAAAAAAAACAAAAAAGATCAAATTGAATTGTACCTACTGATCAAATGATTTGTCTTTTCTGCAAACTAAATTGCTGCATAAAAGAATTGAAACTGCAGGCAAAATTCACTAAGATGGAGGGGTTATTTTAACTCCATTTCTTATTTTATCTCATGTTAGCTTTCCCTTAAAATGTTTCCTTTACAAATATAATCACGGTATAACACTGGCATTTAAAGTGCACTTATAACCAGACTATTTACATATACCTAGCAAGTAGTAAAATAGTTTTAAAACAAGTCCTTACTAACCTCTGTGGCTGCATGTAGTGTGGGGCAATTCATTGTCAAAGATTGCAACTCTGAGGTTAGGTTTCATTTGGTTTCTAACAGCTTACAGCCCAGACTCTGTTCACACTTGAAGGCTGGCATGCTGTCAAGTCATTGCTGCCAGGAGAAATAGGGGGAGAGAAGTTATTTCAGTGCATCTGTTATAAATGTGAAGATTCTTTTTTCCACAGTGCCTGCAGCTACAGAGATCAGCAAGGGTTTAGTGACAGTTTCTCTTGAAAGGGCATACCTGACCCCCATATACTTACCTTACCTGTTCTTATTTGTAGATCTTTGCTTCTCTGCAGCTGATGCTGAGAATGGATTTTAGCAACTCAGGGGATCAGTGATGTCACTCTACCAGTCATGTGACAATGGTTGGCTGCTAGGCCTGGGCACCTTTGCAGGAAAGTAGGTTCCCTGCTCCTCCAGATCTGTAAGTACCTGGGACCAAGGGCGGATTGACAACGCATGGGGCCTCGGGCAATAGGGGATCATGGGGCCCCTGTGTCCCGAACTCAAAAAATCCTATGAAAAAGGTACCAGGGGCATCTCATGGGGCCCCCTACTGACCCCGGGCCCTCGGGCAGTGCCGTATTTCCAAATGGTCAGTCCGCCCCAGCCTGGGACTGTTGCTAGCTACAGAGGATAGGGATGTAAGGTCATTAACTGGGGGTCAAGGAATGCTCTTTCCAGAGATGGTCAATTTGCCTTGCCACTTTGCCCTTTTAATATTTGTAAAAATACTATGTACAGTTCCTAAATGCTGCAAAGATCAAATAAACAGAAATCAAAATAAACAGATAAAAAGACTTCAAGGATACACTTACACTTGTGGTGTACTTATGGTGGATCACTCTTCAGAAGGACATTTACAGGAGGTGATGAGTCATTATGCGGCCTCCTCTCTGCCTGTATAGCCCCTAAAAACCCACACCACATTGCACACGGTTGCCGTGCAGTTGCAGTGCTGCCCCACTCAAGTGAAAAAGGTTGCATTCAGCATAATTTTCTCTGTGCTGGGATCTAAAGCATTGCGACTGTGGCATTTGTACCCCCCCCCCCCCCCCGTCCATTGCCTTTGCAGCTTAAAGTGTCATTAAAACCATTTAATTAAAAACTATCTATAAATGGTGTATTACATGCTGTTCATACTCACTCATTCACTATGGGATCAGGGTGGACTGACAACTCATGGGGCCCCCGGGCAATAGGGGATCATAGGGCCCCTGTGTCCTTGCCCAAACTCAAAAAATCCTATGAAAAAGGTACCAGGGGCATCTCATGGGGCCCCCTACTGACCCCAGGCCCTCAGGCAGTGCCCGAGTTTCCAAATGGTCAGTCCGCCCCTGTATGGGATTCATTTTCTCAATTTTGCAAAAAACCTGGTTGATCCTGCTGCTCTCTGTCTCCCCCTCCTGTCCATGTTCCCAATGCAGTTGGGGAGTATGCAGAGCAGTGCTGGTAGCTAGTGCACATGCTCAGTTTTCAGTGAGTTTTTATGCTGAGCATTTCCTCTCTAACACATATGTGCAACCCATGTAACTATAGAGTCACACATGGGGGCGTATACACAGTGGTAAATGACAGCCCAATCCCTCCCTCCATCTCCATGTCCATAACCAGTTAAACACAATGGGGGGGATTTTACATCTTGATTGATGAAAGCTTCACCTCCCTTTTATTCTAAGACACAGGCTGGAGGGGTGTGACACAACTTGTGATAGGCAGAAATCCTCCCACACCATGTTATTGCCAAAAAATAATACAGAGTTGATTTGAAATATATATTTGTATAACAGTTTTAAACAGTGTATTGATATTACCTATTTATTTTTACTCTGTATCCCAAAAACTGTTTTTTTTTTTCTTCATTATTTTGAAAATGTGACCAGTAGTAGAGGACTAGAAAATCCTCCTGCCACTGTTTCTCTGCAGACAGGCTGGGAAAGAGCTGGGGCTGTATATCGATTAAGAAAAAAGGTAGGTAGATGTTACTTTAAAGTTCAACTGCACTGTATCTGAGCACCACAAACCAAAAATGCTATTTAATTCATTGTTAATATTAAAAAAAAACTCACTCATCCATTCATGACTCCATGCCCTTGCATTTTTGGCAGTGGCCATCTTGAGTAAGGGCAGATGATTCATGTGGCATTTACTGCCTAGAATTCATCTTCCCTTTGCTCAGTCATTGGCTGAGCTGAGAACCCTCCCTCCCCTCCTGGAGAATGCTGGGATGTATGACACCATTTGCCTAGGCATGGAAACCAGGAAGTGACTGAAGAAATGTAAAAAAAGTTTAAAACACGTAAATATGATTTACTTTCCTATCTATTTACTAATGCTAGCAGCATAAGGATTACAAATAGTCAATGTTGACTGTGAGAGTAAAGTTCCACTTTAATTAAAATAATTACAATGCCATCATCTGTATACAGAAAGAGAAGGGATAATGCAAATTAAACAGTGTGTGTTTAGTATCACTTTAGGGGAAGCAGTAGGAGGCAGTAAAAAAACATAGCACAACTGTGTGTTTTTTTTACCGCCCCTCCCCCCAACTGCAAATGTTAATTACTTTAAGACCAAGCATTTTTAGGGATGTTTTGTTTACAAATGTAAAAATTAAAATTTGTATTTTTTGATAGAAAATTACTTAGAACCCCAAACCATTATATATATATATATTTGTTTGTTTTTTAGCACTAGAGAATGACATGGCAATCATTGCAATTTTTTATGTCACATGGTATTTGCGCAGTGTTTTTTTAAGCACAATTTTTTTGGAAGAAATACATTTACTGAATTAAAAAAAACCACAAGAATTACCCCAATTCGTTTTTTAAAATATGAAAGAGGATGTCACGGTGAGTAAATAAATACCTAACATGTCACGCTTTAAAATTGTGCACGCTTGTGGAATGACGACAAACTATGGAACTTAAAAACCTCAATAAATGACGCTTTAAACATTTCTACTGGTTACCTGTTTAGAGTTACGTTTGTGGTGATACCTCACATGTGTGCTGCGAACACCATTTAAATATGCGTGCGCAATTTATGTATGCGTTTGCTTGTACACAAGCAAAATACGGTGAGCACAGTGTACACAAGCATGAGCATGGTAGGATGGGGGTGCTTAAACATTTTTTTTTCTTTTTATACTCTCCTTTTAATTTTTTTTAACTTTTATTCCTATTAAAAGGAATGTAAACATTATTTGCAATGGAAATATGCATGACAGTTCCTCTTTAAGAAAAGATTTGGGGTCAAAAAGACCCCAAACCTCTTCTTTATCTTTAAAAGCAAATGATCAAAAACATTTTTGTTTACTTTTTCTTTAAAAAAGAGGACAATTTGTTTACTTCCACCGACAACTGGATGTGACGCCATGACGTTGCGCCGATCCTCCATCATGATAGAGGCGATCAAAGGCCATAGAATCTTTTATCGCTGCCATCTTGAGGAGGCCGCACCATCGGATCGTTTCTTGGGCTGGCCGGCGTTAACGGTAAGACCAAGAAACACCAGAAACGGTGTGGGGGGGGGGGGGGGAGCAGGGGCGGACTGACCATTTGGAAACTCGGGCACTGCCCGAGGGCCCAGGGTCAGTAGGGGGCCCTATGAGATGCCCCTGGTACCTTTTTCATAAGCTTTTTTGAGTTTGGGCAAGGACACAGGGGCCCCATGATCCCCTATTGCCCGGGGGCCCCATGAGTTGTCAGTCCGCCCCTGGGGGGGAGTGTCCCCTTCTGCTACGGAGAGCTGCTAGGACCACTTTCATATGAAAGCTGATCGTCTGCTTAACAAAACGATACTGGGGTCATGGCTGATTTCTTCAGCCATAACCCTGGTAAACCAATTGAAAACAACGTTTTACAGTATATGTATTGCGGTCATCAAGTGGAGGACACTGTGTTCCTTGGGTTCCTTTTTAATTTTGTTCATAGTTTGTTATAGGTGCCATAATATAGGATAAATAATTAATTAGAGGCCATAGGCTTTTTTGATGCACAGTATAAATTCAAAGTAAGTCTTTTCACAATGCCCAAGGCATACGAAAACAAAGAAATGAAAACTGTCCCACACCTAAGCAATATTTATGTTTTTTATTTAAAATTATTAGAAAAGAGAATTATCACAGAATAAAATAGAGGCTGCATCCATTTTGGTGAATTATGTAACTATTTTATATTTATTGGTAGGCATTGCATTTTTAATTTAAAAAATCTCGAAGCAATCATTTAATTATTTTTTAATGCCGGTATTAGATATCAATAAATTATTTTTTTAACTGATTAAAAAGAATGATTTCTCTAGACAGTACTCTATATATAACTCTGAAAAATGTTAGATTTCTCTTTATATTTTTTTTTTTTTCACGCCAGATATTTAAATATTCATAACCTGTCAAGTTGCTAGCTAGCATACAGCATGAACATACACAATAACAGAAATAAGCTGTAAAACCACAATTTCCGTGATAAAACCATTTTAATTCTTAAACCCGGCACTTCATTAGTCCACATGGACTAAGCCATGCCCCTGGAGTATTCCATCAATTACCATCTTCCTCTAAGTGAGAGGCTAGCGCATAATTACCTACTAAGATATACACAGATAACAAGGAAAAATATTGCAGTTTTCATGGTGTCCCTTGGTAACCAAAATAATAAAATAAAATGTGTTAAGGCCTCGGTGACATTGAAGTGGTAGTGTCAATTTTTTTTTTTCATTTGTCATTTGTTCAGTTTTTTTTTTTTCACATCCCAAAACACCCATCTTACACTTAATCACATTTTGTAAGCCTTACATACAAAGGCTACCCATAGAGATCCATAACTAGCTCTTTATTGGACCTACTTAACGTGTCCTGGGCCTTCAAGGTCCTCCCGTTATATGCGCTGGTATTAAGCGCTGCATTTGTCCGCTTCTAAAGCAATAAACGCGATAGAATATGTTCTATTTTAAAGGATACATTTAGGATTTAGTGCTTAGCTGTATGGTTTGGCACCAGAGCCAGGCACAAATATTGGCATCGGAGCATAAACACCTTGACTTGTAGCCTCTCCGAGTTTATCAGTGCCGGGGGAGACATTCGGGAGAGTCTACACAATCTTCCGCAATGAATGAACAGCTTGCTGCTACAGATTAATCTACTTCATGACTCCAGTGAAGTGCAAGGAAAAATATTATCAGAATGTCCCAAGTCCTCATTTAAATAGCAGGCCATTATTAACAGCTTGGGCTGCGATGAATGACTGCGCTTGCTTTTTATTTGGGATTTTATGAGCATTTTTTAAAAATTGGTTTACATGTCGTATTAGCTTTCATTAGGGCAGTATAGATAATCTGGCGCTAGAATGGAGGTGTGTTGGTTCAGCTGTCCTTGTCCTCAATACTTTCAATTCTTGTCCTCAATACCTTCAATTCTAGTCCTTACCACCCAGCTGCAACCTCCCGATTCTACAGGCACAAGGAATTCAGCTCCAAGGCAGAAAGTGCCGCGACACCTATGGACAACATTTGTTATTGTGGTTGTAGCTACAGTTTTATGTATTTTTCTATCAGCATTTTATTTCCCATGAAAGACAGGCAGTCCATCAGACGTCATCCAAAAATGGCTTCCTAGTTTATCCACAGATTTAAAGTGTTACTGAACCCACAACAGTACAATCAGTCTGTATATTCAGTAAAGCATGCTTGTTATACTCACTGTGGAACCTACGGGGTTAATTCTCTGCATTGTGTAAAAAGGATGTTTGGTCCTGTCTTCTCTGATCCTCCCCTTCTTCTACTGTCCCCAATCCATCTACTGATAGAACAGAGCCTTGGGGGCAAGCTGCACGTGCACAGTTTGGTGTATATTGCTAGACAGTTTTTTTTTTTCGTATTTTATGAGCATTTTTTAAAAATTGGTTTACATGTCGTATTAGCTTTCATTAGGGCAGTATAGATAATCTGGCGCTAGAATGGAGGTGTGTTGGTTCAGCTGTCCTTGTCCTCAATACCTTCAATTCTAGTCCTCAATACCTTCAATTCTAGTCCTTACCACCCAGCTGCAACCTCCCGATTCTACAGGCACAAGGAATTCAGCTCCAAGGCAGCAAGTGCCGCGCCACCTATGGACAACATTTGTTATTGTGGTTGTAGCTACAGTTATGTATTTTTCTATCAGCATTTTATTTCCCATGAAAGACAGGCAGTCCATCAAACGTCGTCCTAAAATGGTTTCCTAGTTTATCCACAGATTTAAAGTGTTACTAAATCCACAACAGTAAAATCAGTCTGTATATTCAGTAAAGCATGCTTGTTATACTCCCTGTGGAACCTAAGGTGTTAATACTCTGCATTGTGTAAAAAGGATGTTTGGTCCTGTTTTCTCTGATCCTCCCCTTCTTCTACTGTCCCCAATCCATCTACTGATAGAACAGAGCCTTGGGCGCAAGCTGCACGTGCACAGTTTGGTGTGTATTGCTAGAGGTATTTTTTATCTTGGGAGAGTGCATGTGATCAGCACAGGGCCAATCAGCACTGTCCAGGCAGAGGGTCAGGGGCTATGCAGCCTCACAAGACAATCAGGGGAGAATGGAAACTCCCCCTACAAGCTTTAACCAGTGCTCGGCTGGACACTGACAGAAGTCACAAGACTGATATATACTGCTTATGAGAAAAGGTATTTAGCAGTTTATATTTACTAAAATAATTGCATTTCCATGTTGTGTGTACTGTGGGAGACCAGATATAGTGAATTCAGGGTCCTGGGTTTAGTAACATTTTAATGTATATAAAATGTTAAAGCAGTGAAGCACTGCCCTATATGCATGCAAAATACCTCAGAATGAACATGTTATGAATTCATGGAATGTGCTTCCTCTACAATTACACTATCTACATAATATGACCAAATATAATAATGGCGATGGCACTGATGAGGTGGCACTGATGATGCTGCACTGATATGCAACAATGATGGGCACTGATGGGTAGCACTTATGGGTGGCACTGACTGATGGCACTGTTGGGCATTGATGGGTGGCACTGATGGGTAGCACTGATGGATGGCACTGATGGGGGGGCACTGCTGGGCACAGATGGGTGGCACTACCAGGCACTGATGAGCACATGTGGGTGGCACTGCTGGGCACCGATCATCTGGGCACTGATCATCCATCCTCTGTCAATTGCTGGTTATCGGCAGTACTTTCCTCACGCTGTGACAGCCGATAACCGGCAACTGTATTTACCAGTGATCTGCTGTGGCAGTGGACACAGCTGATCACGTGGTAAAAGGCTGTTGTGATTGGCCTTTTACCACATCACATGATCAGCTGTGTCCAGGGGCGGACTGACCATTTGGAAACTCGGGCACTGCCTGAGGGCCTGGGGTCAGTAGGGGGCCCCATGAGATGCCCCTGGTACCTACTTCATAGGCTTTTTTGAGTTTGGGCAAGGACACAGGGGCCCCATGATCCCCTATTCCCCGGGGGCCCCATGAGTTGTCAGTCCGCCCCTGGATGTGTTCTTAGGAGATCGCCTTGTGTGCGCCCCGGGGGTGCGCGGGAGGGTGCGTTCTGGGAGGAAGTCATATGCCGCCCTCCCTCCCAGGACTGGACAATTGCGCTGTAGCCGTATTTCGGCTATAGTGCGGTTGGCAAGTGGTTAATGTGCAAACATGCAGTGATTCTTCAAGGTGCAAATGTGCGATAATTCTTTATTAAAGTGCAACAAATGCTTAATGCTCCCCTCCGTTGTCCCACTTACTCACCAGCTCCCGTGGACTCTAAGATCAAGAGTCTAACATACTTGTGTAAATATAGGTTCATCTGGGATTTGTAGTCCTCCTGTAAGTCTGGTCCTTATTCTAGTTCTCTGTGGTTAGTTTCCCATTCATGAGAATAAGCTCCTTTCTCCTTGAAGAAATTGCTGTTTGTTTCACCTTTCACACTGATTTCTGAATGAGAAGGTCTGCACTCATCTCAATGGGTCTGATTTCTCAATGGGAAGGTCCTTTAATGTATATGTAAAATCAAAATGTTTCATTTTTCTAGTGTTGGATAGAGTAGGAAAGGGTTAAAACCCATGTCAGTTTCATTTCTGTTGTCTTGCAGGTGCAACAGGACACATAGGAAAATCTACTCTTAGCCCCTGTTCACACTGAAATATGGTGCTGGAAACCAACAATTCATGTGCGTTTCCTGCACCACATTCAAAGAACACTGCCCTTGCGATCTGCAGTGGGTGTCAGTGTATTATTAACAAAACCCCAAATACAGGGAGCAAATGCGGTGCGTTTGACTGCACCAGATCGCAGGTACAAAACTACCATGCAATCCGGTTGCAGTGCATTTGAAAAAGTAGTGTATTTTTATTTACTGTATTTTTATTTATTTCAGATACTTATATAGTGCCATCAATTTACACAGCGCTTTATATATATATTGTACATTCACATCAGTCCCTAACCCTCAAGGGGCGTACAATCTAAGGTCCCTAACCCTCAAGGGGCGTACAGGTCCCTAATCTAAGGTCCCTAACCCTCAAGGAGGGTACAATCTAAGGTCCCTAACCCTCAAGGGGCGTACAATCTAAGGTCCCTAACCCTCAAGGGGTGTACAATCTAAGGTCTCTAACTCACATCCATACATACACATACTAGGGCCAATTTAGACAGGAGCCAATTCACCTACCAGCATGTCTTTGGAGTGTATGCAATACTATTGGTGCTATGCAGTGACATTTCAGCTAATACAAAATGAATAGGCTCAGATCGCACTGCACTGAATCGCATGTGAATTGCACAGGACTGCACTGCTCATTCCTGTATGATTCATAAGTGATTCATAATGTGAGCCCAGGCTTAGACAGCTGTCACTGAAGAAAATGCCCCCATTGGAAGATTTACTCTTTACTCTTATTCTGATGTCCATCATGGTAGCCCGGACAAATAGAGAAGGTTAGCCTCCCAAATGGGGAGGTAAAAACCGTGCAGGGGCTCTAATTCTTCCCTATTTTATGCAAAAATAAAAGTGGCTATGCACCCACTTTCATCCATCCCCTTTTTAACACCTTAAAGTGGAACTAAACTGTATCTGAGCATCACAAACTGAAAATGCTACCTAATTCAATTTTAATATTTAACCACTTCCTGTCCGGCCCATGAACATACATAAACGGCCGAATGGGAGCAGTGCAGGAGCAGGTTACCATTTATAAATGGCGCTCACATTTACAGCGTGTGCACGCTCACTGGGAGTGCATGGCACCACGATCCAGTGCCTGCTGTGTCCGGAGGACACAGCGGAACACCAATCACTGTACTGGACCTCTAAGAGAGGTCCCGATCATGTGATCACTGACTGGCCAATCAAAGATCACATGATTAGTAGTAAGCAAGATGTCACTTCCTGACATCATTGCTTACTACTAGTGAAATCTGTGAATGATCAAAGAGGTCACATGGTACAATTATTCACAATAGCCTTGTACCATGTGACAAGCTGTAACCAATCACAGCTCTCACAATATTTTCTCAATGGCTGCAAGAATGCAGCCAGAAAGAAGGAGAAATTATTGATTTTATAGTCTTTATGGGTCTAAAAGCAATCAGTGTAAAAAAAAAAGAAAAAAGAAAAAAGGAATCTTCATCACCCCCCACAAGTAGTACTACTAGGGTGGCAGTATGTTAAAAAAAAACATAAATAATATAAAAAATAAAATAAAAATGGAAAAAACATTTTTGAAAAATTATAATTTTTTGTTAGAAACTAATTTGGGTTATTTTTTTTTTAATAAAAAGATAACTGAATAAATTTTGGCCAAGATTTATGAAGAAAGATTATTTATTTGAAAAATTTTATAAGAAAAACACTTTTTTTCAAAATTTTTGGACTTTTTATTTATATAGCAAAAAATAATAATCCCAGTGATAAATAAATACCACCAAAAAAAGTATTATCTGTCTCAAAAAAATGCTAAAAAAATCATATAGGTACAGTGTTGCATGACCGCGCAAATGTCATTCAAAGTGTGATGATAGCGCTGAAAGCTAAAAATTGGCCTGGACAGGAAGAGGGTGAAAGTGTGAAAGTGACTGGAACTGGTTAAAGCAAACTCACCCATCCATCCGCGTCGCCATGCTTTATTTTGTTGAGAAATCACAAAAAGTTTAAACACATCCTCTAGCATTTCTAGCTGCAGCCATCTTGATTAAGGGCAGATAATTCATGTAGCATTTACTTCCTGGAATCCATTTGCCCTTAGCTCAGGTATGCAGGCAGGAGGGTGTGCTTAGCTAAGAAAACCCCTCCTCCAAATGAAAAAAAATGTAATTAGGACTCCTGGGATGCATGACATCATTTTGGACTAGGCCGGAAAAAAGAAAGCAACTGATGAAATTAAAAAAAAAATAAAAACAAGTAAATATAATATCCCATCTATTTACTAAGGCTAGGAGTATGAAGAATAGAATAGTTGAGAGAGCATTTAGTTTTTTAAATATTATTTAGATAAACATGTAAAAGAGATCAGCTTTCTGTAGATAACTATATTTAAACTGCTTGTAAACCCTTCCATATACCCTGTGAAGTGACTGGCCTCAGGTGATACACAGAGAGGAAACAAATCCTCCTACATACGATTGTACCAGGGGCGGACTGACCATTTGGAAACTTGGGCACTGCCCGAGGGCCCGGGGTCAGTAGGGGGCCCCATGAGATGCCCCTGGTACCTTTTTCATAGGCTTTTGTGACTTTGGGCAGGGACAAAGGGACCGCATGATCCCCTATTGCCCGGGGGCCCCATGAGTTGTCAGTCCCGCTCTCAACTATTCTATTCTTCATACTCCTAGCCTTAGTAAATAGATCGGATATTATATTTACTTGTTTTAATTTTTTTTTTTATTTCATCAGTTGCTTTCTTTTTTCCGGCCTAGTCCAAAATTATGTCATGCATCCCAGGAGTCCTAATGAACATTTTTTTCTTTTTTTCTTAGCTAAGCACCCCCTCCTGCCTGCATACCTAAGCTAAGGGCAAATGGATTCCAGGAAGTAAATGCTACATGAATTATCTGCCCTTAATCAAGATGGCTGCAGCTAGAAGGGAAGGGAAGGGACACATCTCCTCCTTTACACAGCACACAGCATACCTTCACTGCATCCGCTAAGATCAATGACCATTCCTTATGCAACATTAACATTCTCTTCCATTCCTTTAATCATTTACCCCCTTTGAATCCATTTTAAAAAACAAGTTCACCTTTGGAGGCATGTTACATGTTACACTCATATTGAATGCTGGTTTACATATATGTGAATTGGATGTGGTTTGAATCCAAATGACATGTGAAATAACATTGCTTCTTATAGTGTCTGTTCACATATGTCTAGTGCATGGCTGGTGCGTGTTCAGTGCGGTTTGAAAAAGAGTCATGTACGATTTCTAAGCAGTGCGGTCAGGTTCAGGTGCGGATTACAGGCTATTTACTTCTATGGGAACCGTTTCTGAACCGCATATGTGTTAACAGGATAATCCTGAGAGCTAATCCTGTGATGAATCTGATGTAAACCTGACATGAACCCCTGAACAACTACTGTATTAATTAGCTGTGAAACCTGAGCTTCAATCCACACCGTACATGTGTGAATCAGTACTTAGGGTGTAATATGTAACATGATTCAGCAGTCCCCCCTCTGCACCCCCAAAGCCCCCCTGACTGCACATGCCCCAGGTCGGATCAAGTGGCATCACAAGGCAGATTCTGACGTGTTTCGAGGGTGTCCCCTCTTCCTCAGAGCTAAGTGTCTGCTGCCCCACAGAACTCCGAGGAAGAGGGGATATCCTCGAAACGCGTCAGTTCTGCGACACACTTTGTGATGCTATCTGATCTGACCTGGGCATGTACAGTGATTCCAGCCATATTCTCTCCTGGCATATGTGATCAGCCTTTATGAATTTATGTTTGTGAGTAAAATTGTTGACACGCTCTTTGTAATAAATGGTGACTTGAAAAATGCACTAGGCTGGAGCATCCTCTTTTTTTGTTGTTGTCGTTCACTTTCAAGTATCATTTAGTATACCCCAATCAATTTAATGCATGTAGAATCATCCTCCATAGCACATCCATACTTTCTTTAACATGGGGGACTTTGATCAGCTGGTTAGCTGTAAATACTTACAAATAAGTGCTGTCAATGTGACACTAATGGTCTTGGTGTTCCATTTTGGAGAGCGGCACTGTCTCACCAATTACACAAGTGTGCGGGGTCTGACTGTCACTGTTCAAGTACACTCTAGTCATGTAACCATCCCAGAGGACGTAAAAACTAGGTTACATGGACGTCATCTTTATTTAGTTACTACGGTTAAAAAAAAAGACATGTTTATCAAGTTGATACCATAATCAAGGAACACTGTCAGCCAATCCAGAGGGAGGCAGACATAAGACCTTTTTCAGGAACAAAGAGTTATAAAGTATTATGGTCCAGAAACCAAATTGCTATTTTCAGTAAAACTAGTGAGACTAATACAAATTACCAATTGTCAATAAATCTGACAATGGATAAACCTGGTTAACAGATTTAATGATAACTGACCACCCTTCCTCAAGTCGTTCTTGACCCTATCCCCTACCCACCTCCAAGCCTCTTGTCCTGCCACCTTACCAACTCCGAGAACTGTCTCTTGTCCTGCCCCCTTACCAACTCCTAGCACTGTGTCTTGTCCTGCCCCCGTACCAACTCCTAGCACCATCTCTTGTCCTGCCCCCCCAACTCCTAGCACCAACCAACTCCTAGCACCATCTCTTGTCCTGCCACCTTACCAACTCCGAGAACTGTCTCTTGTCCTGCCCCCTTACCAACTCCGAGCACCATCTCTTGTCCTGCCCCCTTACCAACTCCATGCACCGTCTCTTGTCCTGCCCCCTTACCAACTCCTAGCACCGTCTCTTGTCCTGCCCCCTTACCAACTCCAAGCACCATCTCTTGTCCTGTCCCCTTACCAACTCTGAGCACCATCTCTTGTCCTGCCCCCTTACCAACTCCATGCACCGTCTCTTGCCCTGCCCCCTTACCAACTTTGAGCACCATTTCTTGTCCTGTCCCCTTACCAACTCTGATCGCCATATTTTTGTCCTGTCCCCTTACCAACTCTGAGCACCATCTCTTGTCCTGCCCCATTACAAACTCCGTGCACCGTCTCTTGTCCTGCCCCCTTACCCACCTCTGAGCTCTGTCTCTTGTCCAGCCCCCTTACCCACCTCTGAGCACTGTCTCTTGTCCTACCCCTTTACCAACTCCGAGCACCATCTGTTGTCCTGCCCCCTTACCCACTTCCAAGCACCATCTCTTGTCCATCCCCCTTACCAACTCTGAGCACCATCTCTTGTCCTGCCCCCCTTATCCACCTCCGAGCACCATCTATTGTCCTGCCCCGTTACCAACTCCAAGCACCGTCTCTTGTCCTGCCCCCTTACCAACTCTGAGCACCGTCTCTTGTCCTGCCCCCTTACCAACTCCAAAGCACCATCTCTTGTCCTGCCCCCTTACCCACCTCTGAGCACCGTTTTTTTTTTCCACCCCTTACCACCACTGAACACTGTCTCTTGTCCAGCCCCCCTTTGCTGCCTTCCAGTACTACCCCTTTTAGAGGATACAAAACCAAGTATCATTTTGTGGTGCAAAGTAATTCATGTAGAACTTGTTAATGATAAGAAATGCAATAAAATAGATCCCCTGCAGCCAGCCACATTGGACCTCAGCAGCAACAATAAATCACCCAGTGACAATAATTCCCCTATCAGCAACAATAGATCTACCCCAATTACAATAGACCCCAACCAGCAATACCATACCTCTCAACAAAGAGCATTAATAGACCCCTCAGCAGTCAGAAACAAAAGAACCCTCTCACAACATTAGATCCACCCAGCAACATAAGACCCTTACCAGCAACAATAAATCACCCAGTGACAATAATTCCCCTATCAGCAACAATAGATCTACCCCAATTACAATAGACCCCAACCAGCAATACCATACCTCTCAACAAAGAGCATTAATAGACCCCTCAGCAGTCAGAAACAAAAGAACCCTCTCACAACATTAGATCCACCCAGCAACATAAGACCCTTACCAGCAACAATATATCCCCAGCAACCAGAAATAATAGACCCTCCAGGAGCCAGCAACAATAGACTCCATCACAGCAATAGCTCCCCCAACAAAATATTAACCCCACCAGAAACAACATACCTCTTCCCAACAACATTACACCCTCTAACAGTAATAGATCCCCCAACAACCAGCATTAATAGACCTTCCAGCAGCCAGCAACAATAGACCCCCAACAACATTAGATATCCCACAGCAACAACATTTCTCTCCCCAGCAATATTACACCTTCTGGGAACAATAGATCTTCCAGCAACCAGCATTAATAGACCCTCCAGCAACCAGAAATAATAGACCCCCCCCACTTCATCAGATCTCCCCAGCAACAATCCCCCCAGCAATATAAGAAGACCCCGAACAGCAGTAATAGACCTCCTTCCAGCAACAAGAAATCCCCCACCAACCAGAAATAATATACCTTCCAGGAGCCAGCAACAATAGACTCCCTTACAACAATAGCCCCCCCCCCCCCAGCAAAATAAAAACACCACCAGCAACAATAGACCTCTCCCCAACAGTACTACATTATAACAACAACAGATCCCCCAACACCCAGAAATAATATACCCTCTAGCATCCAGCAACAATAAACTCCCCTCGCAACATTAGATCCCCCCTCCCGCTGCATTCCTGCTGAAAAGAAAAGCCCTGTAAATATACATACTGTATACATTAACATACATATTAGTAGTGATGGGTCGAACACCCCTCCAGTTTGTATTGCGGTCCAACGTTCGAACCTACTGAAGGTTCGACCACGAACTGTGAATAGGGACAATTTACAGAGCGGTATCTTACCACATCTGAGTATACAGTAAGATATCGCTCAGCTACTACAATACGGCATGAGTTATATTATTAGGTCATGCGGTATTTCAGTAGTGACACATTCTTTAATGTTTCAGCTGTCAGCAGGGTTCCCCGCTGACAGCTGAATGTTAAAAGAATTGCTGGCATTGCCCGACAATTAAACATTTTTTTTTAAAAAACAGCATGGGGTCCCCCCCATCCATACCTTCGAGTCTGGTATGGATATTGAGGGGAACCCCCACGCCAAATTTAAAAAAAAATGGCATGGGGGTCCCCCCAAAATCCATACCAGACCCCAGGGGCGGACCGACAACTCATGGGGCCCCCGAGCAATAGGGGATCATGGGGCTCCTGTGTCCTTGCCCAAACTCAAAAAAGCCTTTGAAAAAGGTACCAGGGGCATCTCATGGGTCCTGCTACTGACCCCGGGCCCTTGGGCAGTGCCCGAGTTTCCAAATGGTCAGACCCTTGTCCAAGTATGCAGCTCAGCGGGTCAGGAAAGGGGGGGGGGGACAAGCAAGCACCCCCCTTCCTGAACCATAACAGGACCTCAACATGGGGGGTGCTTTGGGGCAAGGGGGGGCGCCCCAAAGCACCTTCTTGATGGGGACAAGGGACTCTTCCCCACAACCCTGGCCACTGGTTGTGGGGATCTGCAGGCAGGGTGTTAATTGGAATCTGAAAGCCCCCTTTAACAGAGACCCACAAATCCACCCCCCTCCATGTGAATGAGTATGCGTTACATAATACCACTACCCAT